ACTTTGAACAATCTTTCTCCACACAGGACTATGGTTTCCCGCAACGAGCAATTTCTCCATTTCCCATGCTTCAAAGAACAGATCTAAGGCTTTCTCGAATTCTTTTAAGTAGGCCTGAAGCAGTGCTCGCTGGAAAATGCTACGCACAGTATCTGGGTGGTTTCCGAGAAGCTGCACCCTTATGTTGTAAGCTCTGTCTGCATGTTCACTTGCTTCTCGATACTTCCCCTGAAACATAAGAGCATTGGCAAGGTTTCTACAGAAGTGTGCTTCATCGCTAAACCCTGAAACTTTGAGCTTTTCCAAAAGATTCAGGGCATCTCTGTAACACTCCGCTGCCTTCTCATAGTCTCCCTGACCCTCATATGCTGTGCCGATTTGATTCTTGTACATTGGCATGTCAATATGATACTCTGAACCGGCAATTTCCTCTTGCATGTTGTATGCTATTTTGTAGAACTCAAGTGCTGCCTCCGAATTCTGGAGGTGGGAATGGCAGTTTCCAATAGCATTGTAACACCTTGCAAGATCAGGATGACCTTTAAGGAGTTCTTCTCTAAATTGTAACGATAACTCCAAGCTTTCTAGTGCTTTCCTGCAGTCTCCCTTCTTCCAGTAGATCTCCCCCTCAGAATACAAGTGAAGTCCCTTACTGAGTCGGTAAGATTCACTTGATTTGTCTTGAACTTTCTCTAACGAACAGGACGCTTCCTTCAACACTTCAAATGCTTTCTCAGTTCCATCATGATCTAAAACTTGCCGAGCTTCCCAGCATTTCAACTGCGCCCGGAATAGAGAATCTGTACAAGAACAGAAAAAACACCTTACAGGTATGAATGAAATAGTATATATGGACTGACTTTTTTCAGTTTCAAAAAAGGAAAACCAGTAGCAAGTACACATACATGAACCCCACTTCCTCCAATTACCAACATCAAGTAAACCCTATAAGTTCGCTGGTGTCTTGCATAAGAACACAACTAAGTCAGACCCTAACCATCACTCAATTCTGACTGGTCGACTGCTCTAGAGATCACTCCACACAAATTATCAGGCGATTCCATCACCTTCTGCTGTACACAGGAGCATCAGGTAGATACTAAGTATTCAGGGTCCTAAAATGTTAGATTCTACAGTACTTCAACATTTCAAGTATCCTTGCAACGAATACAAGCTAGGGAGAAAAAAAAAACATTTGAGACAAGGGACATTTTCTTAATAAACACACAAGAACTACAAACTTCTTAACCTCGCTCGTGAGCTATGTGTGGCTAGTCATACTAAGAGGATAAAGTTAGTTGGTGTAAGTGTAAGGAACAATGATGGAAGGCTTTACTTCGAATGCATCAGTTCTCTTCAACAATAATTGTTGGATTCAAACTGTTCAGACTGGTTAGTCTATTAGGAAATACTTGCGAAAGATCGCATTCCTTGTGGTTAAACACCAATTTCAGATCTTTTCATCGCCTATTCATGTAAATCACCTACATAAACTTTGAGTGATTTTTTTTCTCCGAGAAAGGGGCAACGATGAGGACCAGGGTGGGGTATGTGGGTGTGGAGAGGGGGGAGGGGGGAACTGAAAGGTCTGAAATTTATGGATTATGTTTGTGTACGTAACTACGCCCAAGGAAGGTATTTTTATCTGATTTGATATGACCCTATAATTGCTGTATTGTTTAAAGTATTTTTTCAACCATGAATTTCAACTATGATTTGTTTGGGTTGTTTTTTGTGAGCAAGGTCCAATACAAGGTCCCTGTCCACAGAAATGTTTACATGTACACAACCACGAATATTATCACAAAATATAACTGTCATAAGTATAAATTTACTAGCGTTCTATCACGAATGCCGTTCTCTGATTGGCTACGTAACTCACTATCTATTCTCTGATAGATAGTGAGTAGCGCAGCAGTGGGCCCTTGTTAATAAAATGACGGCCGCTTCTTGGCGTTTTCCAAGTGTCTGTGAGGAGGATTTCTATAAAGTTTTGAATGACTAGTAGATATATATTAACACTATTGGATTATTCGCTCTCGATTTCTACGCGTGATAGTTGACTCGGGCTGCGTCCTCGTCAACTATCACGCGATAGAAATCGAGAGCGAATAATCTAAATGTTAAATACCGAACTTTTCCATTGGTTGTTGCTTTGGTTACAATGTAGGACCAAGTAGCTTCTTTAACTTAACATCATAGAAAGCATACAGTATTCAGTATTGCTGTGTACAGCAACAGTTACCTCAAGCTCAATTATGGAAGTTGCTCACTTGCATATTGCGAATAAAAGTACGGCTACGAATACCAAATACAGTGCACCGCATATACCGGTAATCAAGGTTCGTAAGAAAAAAAAAACAATCCTGTGCTGCAGTAAAAATCGAGCTGTGCTGCCGAAACTACACGATTCGCGGCTAAAAAAAGACAATAACGTAAAATAAAGTATAGTAAGGTTGCTTTTGTCTCTTCTAATACTTAACTAGACAAATCTGGCTTTGAGGATTTGACGCTGGGCAGCATATTTTGATCAAAATAGCACAACCATTTTCCTACCAGGCGATCCGGATCAAACAAGCTGCCGAACTCGAGCGATTAATTTTTGAAGCCAAATTAAAAGCTCGAAGACACAAAATGTTTCACTTTTATTTTCAATTTGACATGTTTTTTTTCTTTTTTTTATTTAAAAATCCCTTTATGTGTATACTAAGTGCAGACTTTAGTGAGATTCAATGGCCTTCCTGTTATCATGGAGAGTACAGGAGAGTACAGTATTTCCCGCCTGCTATATCCTGATTGGTCCATTCAAATTCCACCGGCCGTATCCAAGGCAGTCCTTAAATATAGCCTCCTAAGAATGGTGCTTGGAAATATTATATGGATCAAGCCAAGCGTGAAAGCGGAGCTCCCAGGCTTACGTTGTTTACCACAGAGGACACAAATTACCACCCTCACTAACGTTTTAAATTCAAAACTCGAATCAAATGGCCTCCACTGTTGATCGTGGCCGCAAGTTTTCATAGCGTATTTTTTCAGCTCCTGTAATATTCAAGAAAACGTTAAAGCTTTTCGGCTCACAGGGCTACTTTGGTAACAAAGACTGACTTAACTTTTCCAACACTCTCTTTAAGATTTGTGGATTTCGCAGTTCAATTCTGCTTTCGCTCTAAGTTTTCATTCCACGAGAAGCGACTTTCGAGTCTAGTTTGACAGTGACATGATTTTCCTGGACCAATCACAATTCTTCGCTGCGCATAGCAACCAATGACATTGCTTCATTTGTATAGACTACAGATTTCGTTAACTTACTATTTTCGTGTTTGTCAAAGTGGGTAAAGGCCGGCTTTCGAGTTATGTTTAAAGATTTTGAAATGAAAAAACTTTTTCTGAAGCAGTTGGTTTCTTTATTATATACTATTATTATTATCATTACTATTAATATCATTATTATTATTAATATTATTATTATTATATATTATTATGTTTCTTTATTATACACTGTAATTCTGCTTTCGCTCTAAGTTTTTATTCCACGAGAAGCGACTTTCGAGTCAAGTTTGACAGTGGCATGATTTTCCTGGACCAATCACAATTCTTTGCTGCGCTTAGCAACCAATGACATTGCTTCATTTTGTAGAGACTATAGATTTCGTTAAATTGCTATTTTCGTACTTGCCAAAGTGGGCAAAGGCCGGCTTTCGAATTATGTTGAAAGATTTTGAAATGAAAAAACTTTTTCGGAAGTAGTTTGTTTCTTTATTATGTAAAACAAATAGATTCCATGTTGCCGTGCGTCTGTTCAGCAATAGCATAAATCTACTAGCGTTCTATCACGAATGCCGTTCTCTGATTGGCCACGCTACTCACTATCTATTCTGTGATAGACAGTGAGTAGCGTAGTAGTGTGCGCTTGTTAACACAATGACGACCGCTTCTGTGCGTTTCTAGAGGTGTCTGAAGAGTATTTAGATAAAGTTTTGAACGACTAGTAGATTTATACTAAAACAATTAGATTATCCGCTCTCGAGTTCTATGCGTGATAGTTGACTCTCGGGCTTCGCCCTCGTCAACTATCACGCGATAGAAATCTCGAGCGCATAATCTAATTGCTAAATAGATCACAGATGACGTAAAATGGATAGCTGAATTCACTACACAAACAACTAAAGAGACATACATCGGACTTTGTGACACTCCATTTAAATTAAGAGATAGAAATCATATATTCTTATTTCGAAATGATAAGTATAGAAGCGCAGCTGAGCTTAGCAAGCATATATGGACCCTGAAAGACTGGAACATTGAGTAAAACATCAAATGGCGTGAGATAAAGGAGGCTAGATCTTATCCAAACGTTACAAAGTAATGTAATTTGTGTTTATGGGAGAAATATTTCATTTTATGTAAGCCCGAAATGTCAACCCTAAACAACAAAAATGAGCTTATATCATGCTGAAAAATGTCATCACTTAATTAGCCATAGTATCTCGATTACCGCGCCACGTAACACACCTATTATGTATTGTCCTGATTTTTTCAAATATCTTTCCCTGTAAACGTTTTTTCTGGTAGTTGCCTGATGATTGCCTCGGACGAAGCATGTAACTCTGAGTAGCAAGTAAATGTCTATAGCTTTGTGAAGACCTACATCCTCCTAAATGTCAACTAGTCCAGCTGTTTACTTCTATTGTTATGTTTGTATATCTGTCTGTATTCGCCAAAACATAGCCACAGAATTTGCCTCGTCATTGATAATCTTGATACAATTCTGTTCTAGAGCTAGCTTTCCACAAGGCCTATCGTGGTTCAAATAATATATAGATTTAGCAAAACCTAAAAGCGGAGCTCCTGGGCCGGGTTGCGTGACGTCATCGTCGTCGTCTTCGTCGAGCGTACGCGCCCACGAGCAGTACCGCTAGCCATTTTTACCGTGAGAAAAAAGATTCATGGTTTGCTAAGAGTGTGGGGCTTCGCTTGGCGATTCTTCGGGCTGCTGGGGCTCCGCTAAAATAAAATTACTCTCCTGTATGCCTTTTCAGGCCAGGAAGAATATATTCACCGTCTTTTAATTGAATCCTGAATTGTACAATTTAATTAAGAGAGCTTTCAACATGAAATTAAACTTTAAATCAACGCAAACGTACACACATTAAAACCGCGGCGGAGAGCTGATCTGTAGCTTTCTAAAGACCTGCATAGTCCTAAATTGACTGAACAAGAGCTTCCTACATCGAGAATTGATTGGACTTCAACCAAACTAGGCCATAATTGTGAGTCAGTGAACACTCCGCATGTTGTCAGTACTTCAATTATCGACCGAAAACCAAGCAAATAAATCTTTACCGCGCTAGCGAATCACAGACCGTTTTGATAGTTACCTAGGCCGAAACCGCCTACAATTAGTAAAACAAGGAACTGCTGCTCACAATCAGTTTTTGACGAGATTTCCTTCACTCTGTTCGTGGCCATGTTTTGCTCGCAAATAGCAATGTCCCGGATGTGCTTGAATTTTATCGAGCGGGAAAGTGCGATATCAACTCTACAATAGATTTTTAGTCTGTAGCCGCATCAAAGTTCAGGCCAAACAACGCAAGTAGCAGCTAGAACCGTCTGGCCCATTACACTTCTAAAGCTCTTTGCTTTCTAAAGCAAGCACAACATTGTCGCTACAGTGCAAACGGTCTACTCATTACGGGGCTAAATGTCGACCCGTTTATACATCTCAGGGCCGTTCCATGTACGATGATGGACGACGTTTCCTAGCAAATCGTTAGATTGCACCTTCATTGGACTTAATAAT